CCTCCCGCCAAGCCCCGAGGCAGATGGACCCTCTATAGAGGGCACAAGGGCATCTTGGGGTCAGTCAGCAGAGGGTGTGCACGTTGGAACCTGGGTGCACACGTGTCTGTCCTGGGGTATGCACGTGTGTCTGTCCCAGGGCACACGCGTGCCTGTCTCAGCCACACACGCATCAGCCCTGTCCTGCCGACACTGTTTCGCTGGGGCTTTGGGTGCCTCTGAGCTTCCACCTGCTCCTGGTGGTGCAGCGGGCCGGGCTCTATGGGGCCAGGCATCTCTCTGAGGGGCACCCCTTTCAGAGCCAGGGTCCTGGCTCCAGCCCTCCTTGACCTCCTGGGAGGGCCTCGAGCACCAGCATGCCAGGCTCTGGTGTCCCCACGCAGGGAGCCTCCTGCGGGCCCCCTCGCCAGTGCCCTTGCTTGCAGGGCCCACTCGGTCCTCCTGTATTTGCATACAGGTGCCTGCCCGCGCAGCTGCAGGGCTGGGGGTGGGGCCAGGTGGTGGGATAATGGCCCTTCAGAAGTGGGTCCCTGCTAGCGAGTGGGACCGCAGGAAGGCCGCGCTCACCTTGTGCTCCGGGGCTTGGTGGGTGTAGCTGGATCCACAGGGCCAGTTGGAATCTGGGATGGTTTGAGGGGTCTCCCAGTGTGGCCACACAGTAAGTGTCGGCCCAATCTTTGCCTTACCAGCACCCACAGGTGCCAGCTGCCGCCTGTTGGACGGTGGCGGGGCTGGGGTGGGACCTGGAGTCTGTGGGTTGGCCTCCTACGGCTGCTCACAGACAGACTCCACGGCCCAGCCTGCCATGGCAACCGCCCACGGCTCACTGTCCAGGCGCCTGGGCAGCTTTATCTTCAAGGCCATCTGCTCTGGGTACAGAATTCCAGAGTCACCTAAACAGAGCTGAGCAGGGTGAAGCACTGGGCTCACGGCCCTCCTGCAGGGGTGCACTCACACACAGCTCACGCAGTGCTCACGTGTCTGTCCTGTCCTGTCAGCACCCTGTGCACTGGGGCTTCGAGTGCCCTCTGAGCTTCCACAGTGCTCAGTGCTCACACATGTGCACACACGTTGTGTCTCAGCGCAATGTGGCGCTCACAAACATGCACAGTGGCCTGCCTGCACGCGCAGTGCTTGTTCACTCACCTGTGTGTGTACACATGCACTCAACTACAGCACTCAGAAACAAATGCCCCCACTGGCCCAGCCTGCCATGGCAACCATGCAGCTTCACAGGGGAGGAGGAGGAGGAGGAGGGCAGGGACCAGGCAGAATAAGGAGGGGGGCCAGAGTAGGGGAGAGAAGGGGCAAGGCGGGGGTCCGGAAGAGCTGGAGAGGTGAGGGACAAAGTCAGGAAGGGGAGGGTGGGATGGGGTGAGACAGGGCAGAGTAGAGGAGGGGGAGGAGGGCAGGGCCAAGGCACAGGGAGGAGCAGGGAGGGGGGAGGGGAGGGATGGGGCATGTGGCCAGTGTCCTCAGGAAAGCCTCCCTCCTCTCGTTGGGGCTGTGCCTCCCCCCACAGGCGGCTCATTGTCTGGGCCTGGGGTCCATTGTGTGGGGAGGAGCCTCATTGGCCAACTTGGGCATCACTTCGTCAGTAGCTGCTCCCTGGCCCTCCTGGCCCTGGGGCGCAGAACCCTGCAGTAACTTTCTCCTGCATGGATGGAGATGCACTGCCCAGTGAGGATGGCGCTCTGCGGGACCTTCCTGGGTGCGTGCCCCCTCCCCCCCCCCCATCACAGTGCCTGTTGCCCGTTTGTGCCTGGTGCAGAGAGACCTGGCAGAGGGACCTGGCAGCTGTGTTCTTTCTGGGCAGCACAGGAGGTGACTGGCACGGGTCACCTCTGGGGAGGCTGGGACCCCGCCTTGGTTCTGGGCCTGAGGGCCTGGGGAGGCCACACTGTGTGGAGTCAGTCTCGAGGGCAGCCATGGTGGGCAGAGAGAGGTAGGTGCACGCACAGCTCCTGGGAGCCTCTGGGAGAGAACAGGGTGGAGAGAGGGGTGTGTGAGACTGCAGAGGACCGCGGCTGCCCGTCACCGTGTGTGTGTGCATGCGTGCGTGTGAGAGAGACAGAGAGAGAGAGAAGCTAGAATCAGGAGCCCCTAGTCCGTGTGTGTACCCACATGAACTCTGTGGCGTGTGCTCTCACAGTGCTAGTGTGTCAGCATGTTTGCTGTCTCAGCATGAACAGTCTCTCACCGTGGCTGGTGTGTGTACGCGTGTATCTGTGTTGTGTGTGTGAGGAGGCTCACAACTGGCATGTGTGTGAGAGACAGGCACACACTCAGCGGAGTCGGTGAGAGTGGCTCTTGGTTTTGTTTGCTCCATCTGCCAGAGCCTGCCTGCGGCAGTACCCCCCCTTGCCCTCAGCTGTTCGTATACAATATTAATGCTGACCATCTCAGCTCCGCACACAACAGCCCTAATTGTCGTCTGCAGCTTTAAGGCGGGCGCCCATCTGCAGGGAAGCTTTCAGAAGGGAAGAAGAAAACCCTCACCCCCAGCTGGTCATCGGAGAAGGTGGTGCCCATTACAGATGCAGAAAGTTTAAACCAAAATTGCTTGAAAGAGTTTTTATGAAGCAAATGAACTGACACTTGGAATGTCTGTGTGCAGATTTGCACAAGTAATTACACTTTATTTGAAATGATCTTGCCCGCTAAGCCGTCATTAAGCCCGCTCCCCGCTTACACAAAGCACTTCCTCAGTGAGCAGTGCCCAGCTTGGAGCTCGGTTTGCAGACTTGGGTCCTCCTGGGGGGAGTATGGGACCCTCTAGTCAGACAAAAGTGTTTTCCTGTGCATCTTCCCAGTGCAGAACGCACTCGCGGTTCCCTGCAATTTTGCCCCCTTCCCTGCCCGAAAGCAAAGCTCTTAGAATTGTGAGCAGCAAACTTAGCTATGAAAAATGCCTCTTGGTTTGAAAAGTTCTATTTGCACCTGTGTAGGGGTCTCTGGCAAGCGAGGCGGGAGGTCTGGTCTGGAATCCAGACAAAGGAGGGGTGGGGGGCGGGGGCGGGAGCGAGGTGCTGTCCAGAGTGCTGACCAGATCTCTGGCGCACAACCTCACACTGCCCACGTTTCTTCCTGAGAAATCTGCCTTTGCTCTCTTGAAAAATATGTTAAAAAATTCTGAAACGTCACTCTTCATCCCCCCTTCTGAAACACTGACAACGTGAGTATCATCCCAGGGGGAGCTGCTGGCCCCTCTCTGGGATCCTGGAACCGGCCTTGGTTTGCAGCTTTAGGGACCTTCAGCTGTGAGTACTTGGCAGGGAGGGACTGGTGGCCCTTTCCAAAACTCAAGTTCTTCTCAGTTTTCAGTTTGCAGACAAATACAACTCTATGGCTTAAAGAGGTGATTTTGCCACAGTGCCTCATCTATGAGAACCACGCTGATTTTCCCAGTCATCGTCTCTGTTTCATGGCTATTTCCTAAGCCTTTACGTATCTGAAGCAAATGGTGCTCCCGGATGCTGGGGATTGTTGGGGAATAAGGCTGATTCAGCACTAGCTCTCCCTTTGATTCCCTAGTCAGCGGGAACAATGGTAAGCGGGCTGCCCTGAGCCTGCAGGCTGCCGATAAGGGCTTAATAGAATTTCAGAATGCCAAAGGTTTGGGACGTGAAATATCCTGGCACTCACAGTGTGTCCAGAGGAGATAGAAAATGGCTTTTCAGCAGTGCTCTCAACTGAGGACGTCCTCTATGCTAATGGCTGTAGTGAAAGCAAGGCAGCAGCATTGTGGAGCCTCCCACGCTTCTCGTTTGGCTGATTAATATTTCATCCTCAGTTTGGCCAGTGAAGGGTGACACTTGTTTCCTTGTGCTCAATCTAAGGATTGTCCTGAGCACACTATGTGCTGAGAATGATGTGTGTAGTGTTGGAAGCGCCATGCTTCAGGGGAAAAGCAGTGTTGTGTGTTGATACAGTGGCGAATTTCAGAGAGTTGTAGCAAATTCTCAAGGCTGCTCTCCTAGTGCAGAGGCGAGGACCCAGGTATGTGCATCCATGCCCTGGGCACCCCTTCAGTGGTGCTGGCTTGGTGGCTTCACAGGACATCGTCCTCTTAGCCAAGACTGTCTCTTGGCACTGAAGGTCTAGGCTTCATTGGTTGTGGATTGTCTGGATTCTGACCACTGTTTCCCCAGCTAATCATGAAAGAACAGAGCGTAGAGAGAGGTTCAGTGCCCTGGGTCCCCGGTCCTCTGCCTGAGGGAAGTCCGCATTCACCCTGATGGGAAAGTGTCAGTGTCAGTAACAGACACACCATGGGCCATGGTGCCCTCCCGGGTCCCGGCTGGAAGAGGTTTTGACAGAGCTGTGTTGCTTCTGACTGCGACAAAGTTGGCGGTGAGCAGGGAGGAGCACTCTGTCTCGGGGGCACTCAGCTCTCTTGGAGAGGATTGGATTATTTTAAAACTTGGGGAAAAAACTGAAAGTGTGATAAAAGTAAAGCCCCTTTTCCTGAGTCTTTGTTTGTGTGACTTCACGCTTCCAGCCTGTGGCCATAGGTACTTCTATAAACAAAACAAAACAAATATAGACATTTAAGTCATTGGTACTTGAATATGCAGATAAGCCAATATGTAATCCTCCTGGTTTGCCTGAGTAATAAATCTGTAGTCTCTTCTTTATGATGGTAGGTCATATTCTGAACCACCAATAAATATTGTAAAGTACTTTCGCTGCAGCCGTGCGAACCTAGGGCATCTGTCATTCTGCTTGCTGCTATTAGGAATTATTGGACTGAACCACTGGTGGAGAAAGCAGGGGGGGGTGAGAGTAGAGGTTGGGATCTTCTCTGCCCTTTTTTGCGTTTCGCATTAAAAAAAATCCCAGTCACGTTGCAGATTAATTATCAGTAGGTGAGGAAAGCACAGGCATCTTCAGTGGACTGCGGCTGGAAGTAGGGGCCAGGCTTTGTGCCGCTGGGCACCTCTCACGCTCCCAGTCAGCAGATCCATCTTTCTGATGCTGTACTGTAAATTTATTTCACCTCAGAGAGTAAACAGATATATTGGAGCCCCAAGGGTTCATGGGTAGCGTATTTACAAAGGAGCGTCTCCGCCAGCCCGTGCCACCGCTGCTAATGAGAGCGGTCATTAAGTAAATGAGACATCGCCTTTAGCTGGCTTAGAGTTCGCACGCGAAGGGGAGAAGATATTTAATTGAAACCCTCACAGGCTTCCCCACATGTGACGCGAGAGGGAGGCAGCTGTCTGCCTCTCCGCCCCCGTCCAGCCTGCACCCCCATGTAAATTTCATGATCGCCTTCGTGATGTCATTTTGAAGGAGGACAGACAATAGCTGCGGGGAAAGGTAAGTCAATGTTCCGCTCTTCCGCTGACAAAGGCAGACGCCCCGCGCGGGCCGCGAGCGGCAGCGAGTGCCTCTGGCTCCGAGATGAGGCTTTCTGGGCGCGAGAGGCAGGTCTGGGTTGCGCGAGAGCCGCTCGCCCTGTCGCCGGACGGGGCTTTCTTCTCCTCTGGGCTCTTCCCTCCTCTCCGTCCCTGCTGGCTGGCCCGGCTCTGTGGGAGCCCAGGGGCCACTTGGCTGACAGGCTGGCAGGAGAGACGTCAGGGGATCTTGTATCAGGATGAGAAACTTTATGTGGAAGGAGAGCGCAGAGAGCTCGGCGCGGAGCAGCCCCTGGTACCGGGAAGGGGTGCTTGCCTCTTGTGAGGGACCCCTACCCGTGTGACCCCTACCCAAGACCGCGCAGCCCTGAATGTGTGAGCACTTGGTCCTGGCGTGTCCCCTGCGTGGCGGCGGAAGGGAGGCCATCGAGGGTGCTGTGTCTGTCGTACGGTGCCGGCAGCTCCGTCTCCCTGCGGAGCTGTGTGAGCAGGTCTGGGTCTTCGGCTGAAGGGCAGACCGGGCCAGCCGCCAGCGCGGGTGCGGAAGGGCGTCCTTGCTGTGTGCGCACGGGCCCTCCCCAGCTCATCTCCTTTGTGGCTTGGGACACGGTGAGCTCTGAGGCTGTTGTGGTCCTCAGGGCCCCTGGCCTCAGCCTCGCCGCTGGGGAAGTCGGCTGTTCACTTTCTGAAACAAAATGTCTGGAGCTGGACTGGTGCGCGCTGTGGGCTTGGTCTCGGGCATCACCGTGTCTCTGGGAGGGCAGTAACGACAGCTACTATCGTCATTATCTTTCTGGGACAGGGAGGGGAGGAATTTTTCTTCGGAGGTTTAAACAACAACAACCAAAACCAAACAAAACACCAGGTTTTCTCAGAGGCTGGTGGACGAGTGGAACAAAGGCGGAGGGTGAGAGGGCAGAGCCCAGAGGCAAGCCCCGACCGGAGAGTCCTGTGAGAGGCTGCACCTGGCTCTGCTTTCTGAGAGCCAAGACCCAGCAGAGCTGCAGGACCATCCGGGAGGGCCACTCGCGGGGACTCGGAGGTCCTGGCTTGCACCCCAGGCCCCCTCCCATTGGTCCTTGGCTGGATCACCGCCTCCTTCCATATGGCCTGTTAATTAATGGTAAACAAAAGGCTGGGGTGGGTGACAGGACCGGGGTGTGTGGTGTGGCCAGAAGGCCTTGTCAACAGGACAGGACCGACCTCAGCCTCTGGGTGCTGCTTGCGGTGCAGGGGAGGACTCAGGCGAAAGGGTTCTTCTAAGGCGTGTTTCTGTCTGGGGAGCCGGAAGCCTTGTCCCTGGACCTCACAGGGTGTTTGCTGGCCCTGAGGCTGAGCAGGGGCCTTTATGTCCTCTGACCTCCTGGCTCTGAGGTTGGATGGGGGCCCGGGACTGCGTCTGAGGAAAGTGGAGTCCAGTGGGCAGCGAGCCTCCCAACGATCGCCCACGTGCCTGAGGGCAGCCCAGGCATTCCTCTCACAGGGCCCAAGTCCCCTTTGCCCCACATGCTCCTCGGCCTCAGGGGGTGTCAGTTCCGAGAGACTCCCACACAGTGAGCAGAGACTTGGGGGGGGGACAAGGCACCTGCACCCAGGCTTCAGGGGCGCCACAGGGGATGTGTGGCTCAGAGGTCTTAGGGGACACAGGAAACCCCAACGGCTGACCTGGAGCTTGACTGTGGTGAGCTGCCCCTGGGGCTGCCCAGTGCCCTGTCCCTCCACTGCGGCCCCACCGACTCCCTCTGGGGCCAGCAAGTGTGGCTCTGAGGACCAGGGGACACTGAGTGTGTGCAGGGGGTTCCCAGCCTGTGTACGCGGCAGAGTCAAGACCACCTCCTGCTGTGGGTCCCGGATGTCACTGCGTCCTCGTCCCACATGTGCGTGAGCAGAGAGAGCAGAGGGAGCCCCCAGTTCTGTCAGCAAGGAGTTCCTCACAACCCCCAGTGGGGAGTCGCAAACCCCATCTGCAAGGACTCCTACACTACTAGTGAGGGGCCCCGGACCACACACTTGTGGGGGCTGAGGAGAGCCTCTGGGCGGCTCAGCCCTCAGCTCAGTGTTCAGAGCAGTTCTGAAGCTCAAGGGGCTGGGCTGGAAGTGAACGATCACCTGCTCATCACAGGGAGCACTCGGCTGGGGGCATGGCAGGGCACTGGGCTGTGGCTGGCTGGAGGCTGAGGGCGTGTGGAGAGTTCTCTGTGTCGTCCTGGCCAAGGGCCCTTCAGTGGAACTTGGTCTTACACAGGCTGGGGGCGTGTGAGCAGGGGCTTCGCAGCTTCCCCGAGAAGGGCCCCTTCGACCCCATTCTCTTGCCCCTCCCCTCACTGTTCCTGGGCGGCACTCAAGAGTGAACGTGGAATATGCGTGCGTCATTTCCACGCGATCATGTGGTGCGCACGACAGGAGATGTCTTGGGGAAATGGTGTCATCATGAAATGGGCCATGCTGGTTTCATGATGACACAGGGGGAGCGCCTGTGTGGCCTCCTCCCCCGAGGGTGCCTCACACAGGGCCCAGGGCCTGCCCCTTCCTGGGCCTCCTCCCTGGACAGCCCACTGGCAGCCCAGAGCATTTTCTGGGAGCTTTTGGTGAAATGATGACATTTCAGCCTGTCTTGTTTTTCAGGGACAGCAGAATTTCACCGAATGTTTACAACCAAGGCGAGAGAGGCATTTTCACCCCATCTGAAATGACTTTGCCCTTAGACTTGCGCTGAGCTTGCTCCTGAGAGAACAGACTGGCTGGCGAGTGCTCCAGTCCCCCTTGGTCTGTCTCAGTGTCCCTGGGGCCGGCTTGTCAAGGGCCCCTGCACAGGGTTGGATGCCCTCCCCCCTCTTCCCTCCCTCCCTCTCTCCTTCTCTCCCTCCTCCCTCCCTCCTCCTTCTCTCCCTTTTTCCATTTTCTAGATCTGCACCCAAAAATGCCATACTAGTGTACCTGGAAGGAGTGGACGTGATCAGGGTACTGCAGGCACCCAGTTGGGTTGTGGGCACGCAGGCTCCCTTGGGCAGCTCCAGTGGCAGCAGGAGAGGCTGTCGGTGTGGGTGTGGTTGTGCAGCCTTGTGACGGGTCCAGCCAGCAGCCCTCCTTCAGATGTGCCCTGTGTTCCTCAGCGTTCAGGCATGGCTGGTCCTGGAGTGGGGTGTGTGAGGGGTGGGCTCACGGGTCTGGTTTGCTCTGCACGTGCTAGCATCCACGCCACTTAGAACTTGGGGGGAACTCGGACGGGCCATATGGCCTGGGCAGAGGACAGCTGAGCCGTCCTGGCTCCCACCTCACCCTCATGCCTGACTTCACACCTTGATTGTGCTCTGCATGGTCTCAGAGCTCTGCAGAAGCCATCTGGGCTCTCTGTTCTGACGATTTGCTGTCCAGCCCCAGCAAGGGGAGAGCGTGGTCTGCTTAGAACAGAGTCCGGGCTGTGTGGTGCTCACTCAACATCCGACCCTCGCCCGCTGCCTCGCCCTCAGACCTGCACTGCAGTGTGGGCCTCGACTGCAGCCTAGTGCCTGGCTGCCGGGCTTCAGGCTGGGCAGATAGCACAGACTCCCGGGATGGCAGGAAGCCATGGCTCTGTGGTCTGGTTACCCCCCAGATTGCCCCCGGCACACTGCTGACTTCTGCTCCTGTCCCCTCTCACCTGTGCTTCCCTGCCAAAGGTGCTGCTGGCCTGGCGCGCGCTTCTTGCTGGCTCCATCACTGAGTGTTGCTGGGAAAGATTGTCCTTGGGGCCAGGGGCAAGGCTTGAGTTCCCTGAAGTTCCTCGCAACCCAGACTCTGTTCTAAGCAGACGAGGGAACCAGCTCATTAGTCACAGGCCTGCACTGGAGTCCTGCCGTGCCTCAGGCTGTCTATGTTTCCCAAGTTTTGTTCAGGAAGGACCAGGACTTGAATTGGGTGGGCTCAATGAATGGAGCTTTGTGACTGAGATGGAGGCGCAGGGGAGAACCCATGCTGCTGCTGCGTGCACTGGGCGGGGGAGCCCTTAGGCCCATCCCAGGGCCATGCCAGGGTGTGGCACTGTCCAGACGCAGGGCTCTGTTGCTGGTGCCTGGAGCTTCTCGGTTGGCTGAAGGTGTAGCTTCCAGAAAGGTTCCCCTTCCCACCCCTCCCCCACTGCCCAGACTCCCAAGGGGGCATGTCCTTAGGCCACAGTCTGACCTCGGCCGCTCTGCCCTCACCAGAGACCCCTCAGTATGTTTCCAGCTCCATCCTAAACTGTGATCCCCTAAGACCCCAGAGTCCCCATCTTCCTTCTCTCCTTGCATTGAATTCTTGCCAGCAGAGCGGTTTTCACTCCCTAGACCTCTCAATCTCCCTCCTGTCTCTTACGTGTCTTGTTGAAGAATCGCTCTGGTCTCCCATTGTGGGCGTCTCTGCATGCCCAGGTACCGGGCTGCCCTGCCAGGGCGACGTTGGGCTTTGGTTCCAGTTTCAAAAGTGCTGGCCCCTGATGCTCCCTTGTGAACTGAATAAACAATAAGCTGAGCTGGGCTGAGCATCGCCGAGGAAGGGTCTGAGTTTTGGTGTTGGGACAGGAAGGAAAATGGCATGGGAAGAATAGGTTTTCGGACGCGCAAGAGCAGCTCTCCTTCTGAAATTTCCTCCTCTTCTCCTCTTGAGGCGGAATCAAGATGCAGACCTGGCTCAGACTGATGTCCGTGTGCAGACTGTTGGCAAATTGCTTGCTGATGGCCTGGTCTTGTTCTGGCTAGATGATTGACATTCTGTGTGGTTTCATTTTGTCTCCACAAAACCCACACAGGCCTAGCCATGGGGACTGCTTGGTCTCGTTTGGCACCGCGTAGTCTGACGATGAGGCTTCCCCCTCCTGAGACACACCGAGAGTCTCTCCACTCTCATGGACGACTGTGTGCTGCTCTGACCCCCAGGTGTCTGGGTGGTTCTGGAGGCCACCGTGATTATCAGAATTGTGCAGAGAACCCCAGTCAGGGGTTCACG